AATATTAAAAAGTTTAGTAAGGCGAGAAATTCTTCATCTCCTAAGCATTTCCACATCTCTATTGGAATATCATTAAGTCCAACAGCTTTTTCGCACTTCATTTTCTTTAAAACCTCTTTAATTTCGATTTTACTAATACGCTGATAAAAAAAAATCGTTATTTTCATTTAGGGTGCTGAGGTCATTAAAGTCAATTATATTCTCATAATCTTTATTAAAATATTTAGCAAAATATTTCATCCACCTTTGTTGAATATCCTTTTCTAATAAAAAGATTTTCATGCTTAATACACTTCACTTTGAACTAAATCCTTACTATTCATATCTCTTTATTTAACTAACTTATACATATATCTATCGTCATCCATAGTATCTAATTTATTATATAAATCATTAAAAGTTATAATCTTTGCATTGCAAATTGTTTTCATAGACTCCTAATGAGCCTCTTTATATCTTTCTCAATTATTAGAATTTTTACAAATAATCTAATTTTTATAACAAATCTTTTTATTTTTTATATTTTCTTGTACATTTTGATTTCACCACCAACTATTTTTATTAGTAGCTTTTCTCTCTGATACTCCAAGCACATCTTTTGCTACATTCTTAATATCACTAGCTACTTTTTCTTCCATAACATTAGCTTTCTCATGCACAGAAAAAATATTAAAATCTAGAATCTTACTCTCAAAAATATTTTTGTTAATATTCTTTAAATGCTCCTAATTAATCCTAGAACAACGATTTATTTTATTTTTTTATTTTCTGCCAATTCATCTTAATGTTCAAAACTAATAAGTAAGTTGGGTACATAAACTTTCACTCGGAATAACTTTACAATCTTTGCAATTTAAATAATCTATTTTTTTAATAAAAAATAAAAAATCTGAATTTTACTATATCCATTTTGATAATTGATGAGATGCTCATCTTTTTTTTTAAACATGATATTAATAATTTTAAAATCATAAGCTAAAGAAAAATTTAATATGGTCTTATCACTTTCATTAGTTGCTCATAGTCACCATAAATGGTTTTAAATCCTCTACCTCTCTACCAACATGTCCATTTATATCTCATCCAATTAAAACTTTTTTTTTATAGAGGTATCATTTGTATTAATTTTTCTAGGACATTTCAAAATTTTAATTTTGAGCACTATCCAAACCTACTTGACGAGCATAAATGCTTGTAATATTAATAATCTTAGCATCAATAATAATTTTTAAAGTTATAATTATATCTCCAATTTTATTAATTTTACAACATTATCATTCAAACTCTTATCTATAATCACATCCACATCATTTCTAGTACGACTCTTATTAGAATACCATAGTTTAAATCCTAAACTACAATCTCCTTAGCCTTTTCTCCAACCCATTTGGTTTCCTGAATTCAGAGAATATTTATCTTCCTATAGATTATAATATCGATTAATTATATTAATTTTCCTGTAAGTAAACCTATATTCTAAGTTCATATCCTAATTATAGTTTCATAGGCTAGCTTTTTTTCCACATCCGTCCATTATGTGGGAACCCTTGCCTATTTAACACTGCACCCGGGTGCCGGTGTAGCGGCCCTTGCTCACTTGATGTTGTATTCAGTCTATACAATGTGTCGCTTATAGGGAATATCCTAGCATTAACACAATATATTGAATGATTTATTCGACAAGTTTTACGCTGGCTATCGATTACTTCATGCAATTCTCTAATTTTATCATCAAGGACTTAGGACTTTGCAATGACATTGTTGAATATATTTTTATGATAATTATTTTTTGGAGATTTACATACATACAACAACAACATCAAGCCTTTATCCCACTACGTGGGGTCGTCTACAAGATTTACATACATACCACATTATTTTATGATATTTACAAATCTAACACCGAAAATATTAATATTACATGTCTAGCATCCATATACAATTTTAATATCAAATATACCACTCCTATAATTCATTTATATCATTCATATCATCCTATAAACTTTAATATTTCATTCCATTCACTCAAATTTGTTCAATGGGTGGTAAGCATATAATATTAATGTTTAGAGTGTTAGATATGTAAATAGCATGGAATAAAGTTGTATGTATGTAAATCCCCCTTATTTTTTTTATTTTCATTCTTAATACATTTTACTTGTTCTAAAATTTGCTCTTATCTTTTACTTGACTAACTTATACATTTATCACATCCTTTTTAGTATCCAATCTATTATATAAATCATTAAAAAATAAATTCTTTACATCGTATGTTGTTTTTTTAGATTCCTTAGGGGCCTCTTTATATATCTTTTATAATTTTTCTAGTTTTTACATCTAAACCAATTTTCTTAACAGAGCTTCCTTTTTTTTAAATATTTTTATTGCACATTTTTTATTTCACCATAAAATATTTTAACTATCAGAAGCTTTTCCTTTTGATACTCCATGTATATCATTTGTAACATTTTTCATATCGTTAGTTATTTTTTCGCATAACATTAGCTTCATCATGTACATTCAAAATTGTAAGATCTTGAATCTTACTCTCAAAAATATTTTTGTTAGTGTTTTATTATTCTTTAACTGTTCCCATCTAATTCTAGGACAATATTTTATTTTATTTTTCATATTTTGTCTCTTCATGTTAAAGTCTAAAACTAATAAGTGACGTTGGGTACATAAATTTTCTGTTGGAATATCTTTTCTATCTTTGTAATTTAAATGATTTATTTTTCTTATAAAAAATAACCAGTTAGAGTTTTATTATATTCATTCTTATAAGTATAAGTTGTTAGCAATTACAAATTCATAAGTTAGAGAAAAAATAAATATGGTCCTACCACTTTCATCAATCACTCCAAACCCCTAACCACTTTGAATGCTTTTAAAAATCTTCTACCTCTCTATTAACATGTCTATTAAAATCTCGTCCAATAAAAACTTTTTATTCAAGCAGTATCTTTTGTATTAATTCTTCTATAAGTCATTCCAAAATTTTAATTTTGATTACATATCCAAACCTATTTCAGGATTATAAACTTATAATTTTAATAATCTTAGCATCAACAATAATCTTTTAAGCTATAATTTTACTTCAATCTTTTTAAATTCAATCCTTCAAACTATTATCAATAATCACATCTATACAATTTTTAATACAAATCTTACTTGAGTATCATAGTTTAAATCATAAACTATCAATCTCCTTAGCTCTCTCTTCAACCCATTTAATTTTTTGAATGCATATAATATTTATTCTTATATGAATCATAATATCTATTAATTCTATTAATTTATTTGTAGGAGAATCTATATGTCAAGTTTCTATCATAATTCTAGTTTCGTGGACTAGTTTCTTTGCCCACATTCATTCATGATGTGGGAACATTGCTTATTTAACACTGTACCCCATGCTGGTGCAGTGAACCCTTCACACTTTTTACTATATTCTGGCCATATAATACATTGTTCTATGGAGCGCCCTAATTCTTATTTTCAAATATGTTTTATAAAAAAATATTTGTTTTGATAAAATTAAAGTCAAATTCATTTCAGTAATTTGCAACTTCAATCCGAATGGAATGATACATTTAAAATTATATTTCTTGTTAGTGATACGTTTACTTGTGCTATTAAAAATTCTTAAGTTTTTGGCACAACTGTCATGGATTGATTTAGGACATACTAATATTGATACTGAATTACTCTAGTTTAATTTGAATATTTATTTATAGTTGGTTTTATCAAATAACGCTCTTGGTTTTGTTTCAAGTGTGGTATTTTTTTCTTATGTTTGTGATGTTTTGGATGTGATGATCTATTTCCTTTTGATTTTGAGATTGAGTTAACATTTCTAAATAGAAGGAGAACTAGAAGCCATAAAGGAAATCCCAAGACACTATGACTGATTCTGAAAGAAGATTTATGTTATCAACCGGACACTCCGAGATTGTTTGTTTGAAAATGTGAATGTGACTCACTCTACTGTGAAGATCAAATTCGTGACCTTGCACATGATTCGATAAACGATATAGTTTAGTAGCAAGTGAATATCCCAATGCTTACATTACAGTTTTTCTTGAGAGTTGTGGTAATTTGAAGTATTATGATATCATTGATGATGTCATTCATCTCTGAATATTTCCTATTCTTTCAGAAATGGATCAAAGAACTAACATCTAATTCATATGACTTGGACAAAATTTCTCAAAAATTACTTGCTAACTTCTTCCATATGACAGTACAAAGTTGTGCAATGAGATAAAAAAAATTTGTTCAGCTTGAATGAATGTGAAACATTATATGATGCTTGGGAGTGATACTAAAGTGAATTGAAAATCTAAAAAACTACGATGTTTACTACAAAATCACATAAGCAAGAAAGACATTTGGAAACCGAAATTATGCCCTGTGAAGTGCAGCGTTGTAGCTGATGATGATGATGTATCCAAAACATTCATGCACACAAAAGATTACAAAAGATTGAAAAAACTGATAATTTTTATCAAGCCAAATATCTTTATAATGTATTCCTACTTATATATATATTTCCTTACGTAGGTTGATATTATCTAGAATTTGCAAGAAAATATTTGACCGCAAATATTTATGTAATGTAGATAGCTCAGAATAGCGGAGTGAACTATAAAATCGCTGGGTAAGCACGGCATATGAAAATTAAATCTGAAAAGGCAATCAGTTCTCTTTTGGATAGTATGAACTTATGTAAAAGAAAATGGAAAATTGGTTGAAAATTTCAAATTAATGATGCTAATTAATAATCAAGCTGTAGATGACATGTATGCCATTTGAATTACTTCATTTTCCTCCAATCCATACAGAGCCTTAAGACTTTCTTATTGGAAAGCCAGCCTTGATGTTTTTTTTTTTGCTTCTCTAACATTGTTTTGTTTTCACATGTGAATTTCAAACTCTTTTTTAAAGATTATCCTCAGCCTGTAGAGAACAATCATTAGCCTTGTTCATGCAATGCACAGGTACATTTTATCTTCTAAAGTGGAGAACAAGCCCGACGACTATATATTCATCTACTATCGTGGTAGAAATGACGCATGGGATGGCTACGGAGGAGCTGTTGTGTACACAAGGAGTCCAAAACTACCTGAAACCATAATACCTGAACTTGTAAAAGCAGCAAAAAGAGTTGGAAAAGATTTCACCAAGTTCATCACTACGGACAACACCTGCGGCCCTGAACCTCCCTTAGTAGAAAGACTAGAGAAAACTGTGGAGGAAGGTGAGAAAACCATTATTAGAGAAGTTGAGCAGATTGAGGACGAGGTTGCAAAGGTGGGCGAGACCGAGTTGACCCTATTTGAGAGGCTTGCCGAGGGATTCCGTGAATTCAAACGGGATGTAGAATTCTTCTTGAAAGGCCTTGGTCAGGAAGAAATGGAGCTTTTGAATGATCTCAAGATTGAAGCAAGTGAACTGGAGAAGGTTTTTGGAAATTCACTACCATTGAGGAAGCTGAGATAACTGGTTTAATGGTCATGCCAGCACAAATGTTTAGGGTTGCTTGATTGATTTTGACCTGCTTGGCACTCAAACAAAGTCCTTGTGATTAAGTTCAAGTATATTAACATCTATGTTGAAGCTTTGTAAAAGTTAATCACCCAAATTTCTTGAAGCTGCCACTTTGCTGCTTTCTTCACCAAGAAAAATGCTGATTGGAATGAGCTGGAGCGGGTTGTACTACGAATCAAGTATTTGTTTTTTTGGAAGGGCAATTTTTAGTATGTTTAGCTACTGCCTATTGTTTTATCTACTTTTCTCTTTGTAGAAGACTGGATTAAGAGGAAATTATATATATAAAAAGCACGAGTTACTGATTTGAGGCTGCTTCTGGATTTGTTAAATATGGCATTTCCTGTCCTGGTTTTTTGTTATAGATGGCACATCATGCCTTGTGTTATTAAATCAGCACTTAACGCTGGATAGAAATATTATTTAAAAAAAAATGGCTTTATAAAATTTATTAATTGCTTTTGAAATAGATTATAAATTTTATTTAAGATTAATAACGTAATATAATCATTAAATTCTTAATATAAGCAATACCCGTAAGGCAAATGACGTGCATCATATTGTAATTTAAAACGAGTATACGGTAAAAGATATCAATTTTATCTAAATAAGAGGATATATATGTTTGATTCTTATTTGTTCATTGGCAATGCTTTGACCTACTAGCGAATGTAATTAGACAATTAACGCTAGTGTAGGAGAGTAACTGTGTGGCTAAAAAAATTAGCTTTGGAATTCGCTGTTCTCAAGGAATTGTAAAATTAGCATCAAGATTTTGAAAATACCTTTCAAGCAGTTAGTTATAGATTAAGGCTTCGTTTGGGACGACTTTTTTATTGCTTTCTAAAATAGAGTTTCAGTACAATTTTTTTTATTTTTGTACTAAAACTCTGTTTTAGAAAGCAATAAAAAAGCCTTCCCAAACAAAGCCTAAGAAAGGTTATAGCGAAGAAATAATAAATCATGTATGATTTATTCATTGCAGACTCATGGATAGAACTTTCTTGTTGCACATGGACTATCATCTTTAATAAGTTTTGGCTACTTCTACGTCTGTGTGCTTTTGAAGACAGCTTATTAGGCGGGGTGTCTTGAGCGATTTCTTTTGAGCTGGGGATTTCAAAAATTGATAAGGATGTTATATTGGGGTTAGTAGTAAGTTGGATGAGTTGTAGTTTACGGGATTGTTTCAGATTGCGATTTCTCAGGGTCCTTTGAGAGGGGTGAGTCACCTTGGGTGGAGTGAGTTCTCATATGATGAGTACCTCCTTTGGTTGAGTCCTATTGAGGCGAGTTTCTCAATCAAATATGTCTTGGGTGTGTACTTTCTTGTTTGAGCTCCTTAAGGGCGAGCTCCAATGGAGTGAATGCCTATATTTTTTTGGATCTTATTGCTGTGTTTTACCTCTTGAAGGGATATATCTTTATTGATTATATCTCTTGGTTGATCTCTGTGATGATTTGATTGATTCCTTAAAATTACTTGTACAGACATAGTAATGTGTGCATATATTTCTTGATTCTTGTGCTCTTTTATGGAGTGACTTATAAAATGGATGAGAGAATTAGTTAAGAGAAAACACTTATTATACCATTTCATTGATAAAATAGAATTACATAAAAATTTAGTGCCATATTTTATTTCTGCCTCAAGAAGAAAGTTTTATCTGACATTCTTATAATAACTTTGATTCGAATTTTTTATTAGCATTGTATTTAAATAGATACAAGGGGTGTTGTTTGGATTAAACTTCATAATCTTGCTTTATTGTTTCCATACATCAGCTCGCACAAAGATTTTCAAGTTCACACCTTTGAAGTTTGGCCATTTTTATAACCACACATTTTGGTGGGCCCTGCCACGCAAGCATAAAACTGTAGAAGTTGATAAATGGAAGCTAAACTAGCCAATTAAGGCGTAGTAAAAAGTAGATGCTTTAAGAAAAGCAAGGTGTAGTAAAAAGTTATTATTATTTTTTTATAGTAAAAAGTAGTTGTTTCAAAAAAAGTGAGACAAAAGTGACTCGCACCTTTAACATTAATGGGGTGCCTTATTGATTGGTGTGTATAACATGTTTTGATGGCTAAGTTAACCCAAATTTTGGTGTAGTCATTGCAAAGCTGAAGGTGGTCGACATAACAGCAAAAGTGGTTGATGCACACCTTGAGGTGATTGTCTTTGAGAATCCAAATTAACCCCCCACCCCCCCCCCCCCCCGCACAACAACCGCCCCCCCCCCCTAGCGAGCAAAATGCTTGCCCCAACCCAAGAAATATTTCTTTAATATCTATTCAGAATATTCAACAATTCAACTTATCATGCATAATTTTACTTAGCGGTGGAATTATCAAGTTGCCTATATCTCAAGTTGGAAAAGATTGAGTGGCATTGATTCATCACTTGTTGGGTTAAGAAAATTTCTTTTCGATTTTTGAGAAATTCATGTATGGGAATCAATGTTGCCCATTAAGTGACTTCGATTTCGTAGCCTTTACTCATTGGGTACATGGTTTATATACTTGGTTGCATGACCTTTATGCTTGAGTCATAGAGGTCCACTTCCATATATTGGATAGACAATTCCACATCCTGAATATTTGTTCAATATGATAGGCATGACTTTGGTGAGGTGAGAGGAGGATGCAACAAGCTGATTGTTAGCAATTCCAAAAAAAGTTTCTCCCATGGTGAGGACTAGTGTGTCCTCCAAGGTTGAGAATATTGTAAAAAAGTCCAATAACACCCTTCCTCATTATGACCTTTTATAGTTTGTTGCCAACCATACGTCCTGTAACACCTATGAAAATAGTGCACCATTTTACCTATTTTAACCAAGTAAGTTAAAAGATAACTCATTAATTGTTTGAATTTAACCTTTATTGGACGTGCTAGGGAATATTTTGTATACACGTGAATGTAAATCTATTATGTGTGGGTTTCATGGGTCTATGTACATGATTTAAAATTTTAGAATTTTTCTCTAGTGTGCCTCAACGTCGAGGTAGGTGGCATCATGACACTGAGCTCTTTATTTTTTGGACAAAATAATTCAGTGTTGCGGCACTATATGTGTTGTTACATCGCCATGCCCTTCTAGAGAGAGACTTGCAACGTGTAGGATCAGGTGTTGCGGCTCTTGGCCAAAATCTTTTTATAAAATATGTACTTCCACCTATTTAAAATTTATCATAACCCATTTCTTCTCCTTAGTACAACCACACACACACACACATAGAGAGAGAGAGAGAGAGAGAGAGAGTGAAGGTTTCTGGTGAGAGAGTTGGGGTTGGGGGACTTTGGTTCATTTTTTACCATCGACCTAGTTTTAAAAGTTATTAGATTGATTTATGTTACAAAGTTATTCATATCAAGGTAAGTTATATTTTTTCAAAATATAAAAAATTAAAATTTTTTGAATAAATTTATATTTTCATAGTATAAAAATGAGAACAACTTTATGACCGTTAAACTTTCATTGTAAAACTTCATGTATGTTATAGGAATAGTTATTCTAGACATCTTGGTATGTTTTTGGAAAACTTTCGATTGAGTGCTATGAATAGTACACTATTTTATTTAAGTAGAAAAAAGTTTTGACTCTGAAAAATAATTTTGCGATATGATTAAAGCTTGAAAATAATGTTCTACACAATAGCTGATAATTTGGTGATATTCTAAAACTATGAAATTCTGCCTAGTAGTTGAATCTATTATCTATTGATATAGCATTCTATGAAATTCTAAATTTTATTTATTTATATTTCTTTTACCACAATGTAATGAATTATATACTTGTTAGCTTGAAATGTGTGATGCTTAGGAGATCTGATGTGTGGTGGAAGTTTTATTTTAGTGCTAAATGCAAAGGGAGTCCTAAGGGCCTAAATTTCTGAATATCTAATATATGATATGCATTGAGAGTTATAAGAGCCTATTTTATGATATACTAATACAGGAAGTCATAAGGGCCTACTTCTAATGAGCCGCATAAGGGTCTAAGAGAAATATGCTACTTTCTATTTTGATATATGAATTATTTGTTTAAGTATTTTCATTGCATTATTTTTTAAAATTTTGATAACTTCAAGCATTATTCTGTTCAACAATATAAATTATTATTAACTACTTTTAAAACTCTGTTTACTTAATAAATGAAATATTTAAAAATTTAGATTCAAGGGTGTGACCTATTGAGTTGTATTAGTTCACACCAATTCTACTCTCTATTTTAGATTAGGAGAAAGGGAGAACGTCTTTTAAGTAGTTGAGTATTCAAGATCTGATATGTTTAAGTCTTTAGAGGTATATTTTATATTTTTTTCCTATAGTATGACTAGTTATTTGATTATTCTATTTTTGTTGGCAACCATGTACTATAGGTATAAATGTTGTATATACATTTTATGATAAATGAAATGAAAAGATATTATATGAATGAGTTTATTCTGTTATATTTAATTAAGTTACTTAATAGCTCTATGTTATGTGTAACATTAAAAGAAATCTAAAAAGCTACTAAAACTTATATCTTAGTTTTGCATGTCATAATTCAACAAAATATATGACCTATTATTTGCGGGCCATATCAGGCTGGGTTGTAACAGTTCATTTTGGTATCAAAGTAGTAATTTTGGTGTCCTGATTATAGAATAGAGCTATAAAAAATGATTGATAGTTGAGTGGGATAGTTTTGGGTAATATTTGGTTAATATTTGGGTATTCATTATACATGATTATTCAATTATATGTTTGATGTGGTTGTCTGATTGAACTACAAGAATTTGATGTGATAATTAAGTTCTAGTCAGACAATAGTAGTATAGAGTACAGCTCTTACTGTTAGAACACAGTACCCCTCTTTTAACTCACGAGTAAAAAAATATCTAAAGATTAAAAAGAAATAAACAATAATAAAATATGATGATTATAACTGATCAATCTCACACTCTCGATTCTCTTTCCTAACCTAAAATCATATAAATCACATATAATGAACTAAAAAGCCGACCATATTATAAAATCTTACAATTAAACTCAAAATACGACAAAAAAGTATGTATGTTATTAATCAGTTAAAAACATCAATAGGTAATATGAGCATGATTCTATGCAAAAATAGTGAACAATATGTGGTTGCAATAAAATATGTAAAGTAATAGAACAATATAATATAGAGCCCAATAATATAATATAATATGGAAACAGTAAAATCTGTAAATCACTAAACTAATAAATTAGTACCAATGTCTAATAGGTAAAACAATCATTGTAGCAGTACTATCAAATCAATAAGAAAGTTTTATTAATTAGTA